TAATAAAATATAACCCATTAGTGAGCTTTTGGCATATTTATTTCATTCAACTTCAACACAATAACTGTACGCTCACACCTTACGCTTTACTCTGAGGTAGATCTCCCCGTTTACAGTCGCAAACTTTGAAAGTTTCTGCTTCTTTACATCCTCCGGAACATCAAACTTGTGCTGGGCGGTGAAGAACAGTAGCCCCGGAAGCTGCCGCAAGTCCACCTTGACGTAAGTCTCATCATCCATGATGAGACAATGAGGCTTCGTCAGCATCTGGGTGTACAGTTTCCGGGCCCGTGACTTTCCCACCGTATTTTGCCGTTCGTCACGATTTGGAGCCTTCTGCACTTTGTACGTATGCAGTCCCTCCCAGTCCTTGACTCTCTGAACGAAATACTTGGACAGATTCAACTTTTTGGCCACATCCCTGACCGAAGCATTGGGATTCCGCTTAAACGCTTTCACGACACACTTGTGATCCTGATCACTAATAGAACATCGATTTTGACCGCATTTCTCCTTCCGTTCGATGCTCAGAGTTTTGTAGTAACGTTTAATCACACGACTCACCGTTGACTGCACGATTCCGAGTTGTTTTCCGATGTCCCGATGAGAGAGTTGAGGATTTTCCAGGTGGTTGCGCAAAATCAATTCGTGACGTTGCTTTTCGGGTGACGCCATTTTTTCCAACTTTCGATAAACTGACAGCGATAAAAATACAGTGTAAACAATACACTCTAAACCACTTCCACCCAAATTTTCAAGAGAAAATACACAATGGGTAATTTTCAACAGCGTTTTTTTTTTCGTGATGCAATTTGAATAGATGCCTTGCGATGAAGGCAAGAATGACAACTGTATCAAAACCGAATACTTATCATTTATCAATAGTGATGCAAAAATAAGACATACACTAAAGTAAGGACACGGTATATACTACAATAGATCAAATTACTGGTCGCAGTCAGAGGTGGCAACAGTACAGTTTTTGCAAAACCATCGTCCAGAGCAAAACAAAACAGCCAGCATACGGGCGGTCGTATATTTCTACATTACAAACAAACGGCGGAGATAGAGAATAGGAAAAATGTCGTAGCCCATTATTTTTCAAACAGTTTATTGAAATTACATTTTAGCTGCAAGCTTGCGTGTGACAGTAAATTATTAACTCCCTTATTTACGCATAATTTTAACATCTAAGCTTATGAGTGGTTAGTATTCGTTCTTATTTTATAGTGCCATGGAATAAACATCAAATAAATGCTATAACTAGCCAGAAATCAGCAAAATTCTACATGATGCGCCGCTGGTCTTGTCTGCTTCATTGTACGCAAATGTTCTGTCACCTGCAGAAAACAGTTTAGAAATGTCATGACATTTTTTCCGCTTGCCAGTTTGCGTTCGTGCGTCTTCTCTATGGTCATTGTGCAAAGTATCAAATGTTAAGGAAAAACGTTAAACTCCAGTACTCGTGCCACCACTGGTCGCAGTGGAGGACAAAAATCTCATGCCAACAAGCTTTTGTAATTACGTGTCTAAAAACAACAAATGTTCCTTGAGTATTTCTTTTCAAATGCTCCATGCCAAACAATAGGAAAGTGTCGATACACTTGATTCCCTGATTTAATGTTGGATGTATCTCAGCGAACTCAGAAACTTGATGCGGTTTCCACACTGGCTCGCAAAGAAATATGTTACATGTGCATCTCACATGTCATCAAATTCCAAAATCGTTTTGCTGTATCCAAATTTCAAGAAGCATAAAGTCTGGTAGTTGAGTGTATATAAAATGGTTGCTATGATGAGTTTTTACCGTTTGCTCTCCAGTTTTCAAAATGACGTCCAAACAAGAGGAGCAGCGTGTCAAAATTTTGCTCGTGCAGCAAGAGAATCCGACGTTCTCACACGCCAGGTTGGCAAAATTGCTGGAAGTGGTCAAATCGACGGTGACAAACGTTTTAAAAGTGTGCAGGAAGCGTCTGTCGACCGCTAGGAAGCCTGGAAGCGGCAATCAATCGTAATCCGGACGTTGCAGCGACGACGAAGATAGTGGCGGGGAAATATAAGCGGAATCCTATCCTCTCCATCCGGGACGTCGCTGGCAAGCTCAATATCTCCCAGACTACTGTGTAGCGGGCCAAGAAACGAACCGAGTTATAGACGTTTAAGAAGGTGAAGGTGGCGAACCGAGATTACAAACAAAACACGTCGGCAAAGCAGCTGACTGTGTCGTCATGGACGAAGAAACTTATGTGAAGCCGGATTTCAAGCAGCTTCGGGAACAACGTGGTTGTGATACCCAAAGAGCACAACTCTCCCAACAGCCCAGAACTCCGCCCTGTCGAACGGTATTAGACCTTGGTCAAACGGAATAGAAAAACTAAAAAATCGATGGAAAATGAGCAGCAGTTTAAATCTAACTGGCGTCCGGCGGCGAATAAGGTCGATGAGACCACTGTGTAAAGTTTAATGGAAAGGGTTAAGCGGAGGGCACGGCAGTTCGGATTTGGTAAACCAGAAAAATAAACGAACATTTTTTCCGTTAAATAAATGAATTGAACTACCAAAAGAAAAATGAGAAGATTTTTGTGATACGAATTTAGACTGAAAGAAACGATTTTTTGTCGACCAATTTTTGCGCGTTCCAGTCATTAAATTGCAAGACCACACTAGTGGAACCTTGTTTCTTTAAAATGTTTTCCCAGACTATCGAACTGCACAAAGTGGTTCGATTATCGAAAACATATGTCAACAATCCTAACTTCGGTCCTATAAGGATCATGTTTACATTTCACTGTTGCTAAGTATTTGTTACCAGGCAGCTGTTAACGTCTTCTCCATTACTTACATTACTCTCAGTATGAACACACTCTTCCAATTTAAATATCGATCACTGATTGGTGATACTCCGTACGCATCCTAAAGTTGTCACTACGGAGCAGGAAATGTTGAAATCATAGTTGAAAGCAGCAAAAATGTCGATTCAACCGTTGTACAACAACTTATTGGACAAATTAAGATGAAAGTTCGGGCATTTGTAGGGGAAAAGTTGGCTTCGGCAATACCTTAACGTATTTCGTCAGGGGGGTAAACAAAGTCCTAGAGCACTCAAATTTGGTCAATAGTTGCTCACACAATAGAAACACACTGTATCCACAAGCCAAAATTGAGCTCTGAAGAACGTTGTGTACCCCCTGATGATAATAGGTTAAGGTATTGCCGAAGCCAACTTTTCCCCTATTTGGTGCAGAAATAGAATGAAATAAAGATACGTTAACCAAGTTTTTATATAGTATATTACATTCCCTGAAAATTTCATGACAATCGGTTGAGAGACTTTTTTGGCGAGTACTTCTAAGTGATGCAATTTAACTGTGGATACCCTTTAGTTTTCGAATATATTCAACGAAACCTGTTCAGTACTCCTCTTTTTCGATTCCAGCCAATTTGACACTGCTCAACACAGCACAAATTATCAAATTGAAAGTCTCTGTAAAAAAATCACTGCCAGATGTCAAACAAGTGAGGTTAACCCAAGGGGAACAACTCTATCTACGATGCAGGAAAGCTTGTGTTTTGCTGTGGCTAGCTGTGCGCCCGCTAAGTAGATAGAAAGAAGATTGATGTAGATTCTGAAGATTTCCTGCAAAAAGATGATGCGTGATGCAATTAGATGCGAGAAATGAAAGAAGATTTTCCGAAGATTGATTTGCTAGTGTGAGATTTTTTGAGCATCTAAAATTCAGATTTAGATTTGTCGCCCCCCTCGGGTTAACCCGACAATGCGGCTCCCTATTCAGTACAAACCAACTGTCGCGAGAAGGCTGTACTATTGGGAAGCCTGCTACCATCGAGCTCCCCATCCCTCATAACTCTGTCACTAGTGGGATCGCTTCTGGATCCTTCCCCCCTATTCCAACTCGGTTATTAGGGAGACCCCTATAAGAAAAGTTTTTTAATTTCAGGACTCATTTGCCTCACATAAACATGTTCTGGGTGCGCTTGGGGTAGTGACCAAAATCTTGCATGATGCAGATTTTATAATTTCTAACGAGAAAAGCACCTGATAGGTGGATTATTCGTGTTTTTGAAAGCAAATACATGTAGCTATGAATAGTGCGCAATACCCTATTTGATTTTATTAGCTTTTATTCTAAAGACCTTACGATTTCTGACGTTAATGTGATACAAAATCTCAAGTCCTCGTTGTTGCTTAAAATGCCCCTAGATTGAACAAGTTCTCTTAAGTGAGTTAAAGATATTTCAAGCACCCCGTAAAGTATTATTTCAGCTGTCTGTATATGTATGTATGTATATTGAATATTTACACATTTATACGTAATTGAATTTGTTCAATCTGAACCTTTGGATTTTTTTTTACCTTTACCTACACACTTAGAAAAAATCATGTAAATTTAGGTGCTCTGAGACTGACATATACGAGCGTCAATTTTGACATAAAATTGAGTCATAGCAGACGCCACATTCAGCTCAATCAAAGGTGTTTTTCGTCAAGTAACGAATTATTCGGTCTCGGAGCACTTAATTTTACATGAAATGTTTGTTTACGTTTCATCCTTTATGTCAAAGATGGATTCCGTCACATGTAAAATTAGTTATTTATATATGTGTACTTTACCTACAAATAATAAAAAAAAAATTAAGACGTTTTGAATGTTTTTTCCTAGTTCAGCTAGCCATTTAAAACAACAAATTCCAAACATTCTGTTCACAAGCTTCTTCTTTCATCATCCATCAATGTCTGATTGAAGTGGATTGATTTGCGCAATACATTTTTGGATACGCTCGTATAGAGCTGCTTCCCTCACAAGTACCATCCGAATCTCCATCGACCCTGTAGCCGGCAGCTTGCACAAACCATATTTGAAACCATTTGGCGGTGACGCCGTGAGCTGAGAAGGTGTACGATGTCGTGTTATTGAACGTTGAAAATATTATAAAATCATGAATCACAGCGTGAAAGATGTCACATTCGTTTGGTCTTGTTTATTCAGTTGCGTAGTGATTTCGGTGGTTAGTGCTGGCGGCATGGATAATACAGCATGGCGTAAGTAGCATGTGTGAGGTTAATATGGAGAAAAAAACGGTGTGTCATTTTCTAACATAGGGAACGACAAAATTAAATTGCCGAAGCTGTTCGAGTATGATGACTTCGATGAGTGCAGGCAAGGGAACCTTCATTTTGAATACTGTGTTGTTCGAGCTGTTGTTCAACCCGATGCCGATTCCTATGTATGGCAGAATATAAGTGTGAGTTTTGATTCGCAAATTTCTAATGTTTCTTGAACTACGTGTTATGTAATAATAAATAGTGGTGAAGTAACTGTTTTTGCATTTTCTCGCTTATCTTTCTGAGTCCAGACCCTCTTGGCCGATAGTCGAAACTTTCCATACGACCAACTCGAGCGAGGTTTCTGTCTGCGTAACTGTTTGGGAAGGATCGCATCAATTAGCCGGATAGATGTTTATAAGATCGAAACAAGGCCTATTACTGATGAAGAACGGATCCAATATTTGGATCGGTGTGTCAACATAGAGCTGAAAAATCGTTACGATCTACGTGCATCGTCGTCTGTGTTGCACTGCATGTCCGAGAGCAATTTTCAACAAGGACCAAGTAAACGATTGCGAATCAGTTGGAAATAAATTTACAATCGTTTAAATTTTAGGTATAGGTGAGATCCTTTTTCTATGCTTGGCTATATTGCTTATGCTATTGGTCTGCGTTGCAACCGTTCGCGATTGCAGAGGAATTGAATGTGTATGTAAGTATTTATATCATGACAGCATGCTGCTAGTAGTCAACAGGTATTATATTAAAAAAAACTACAAAGAACAGTGGGTTGATATTCGTTGATTTCTTCCGAAGTGTAATAATTGATCAGTGTCCATTTTCCGTTTATTACCAATAAGATTATTTTTCACTTCATGTGTAATTTTCAACTGAAAGCATTTAATTACTTTTACTCGTTGCACTGCATCATCCAAAAAAAAACCCCCGAAGCGACCTCAGACTGCAGTTTTTAACTGCATTTTTACAAGAAGGTGAAGTCCAAAGACCGAAACGGTGGACATAAAACATCCTAGCGTTTTGATCCACCGTTATACTAAAAAGCCAATTTCCTGAAATGTTTGAATTTTTGAGTTTTATGACGAGCTGACAAGTTTACCCGTACCCTAGATTTAGTTAGAGGGATCTGAATTGTGTGTACATTCCGAATTTAAAATTATGAGCGCTTTATTAAGGAGGCACACACATGAATAATCGTAACTTCGTATGAAGGGTTAAAATAAGTTCAATTCTAACTTGGGTTAAATATTTTCTCTATGTGTGCCTTTTATAATGGAAAATTGTGTGCGCTTTTGCATTAAATACGTTGGTATTTATTCAATTACATCTAAAATCAAACTATCTTTAATTTCAATCTATTTTTACTGTGAAGTGCTGTAGGAAGAATATTAGCTACGAAGAAGGGTTTACGTGTATCTATCAATTTCAGATGACGCATTGATCAAACCTTTCTCTTTGCCTCGCAACGTGAACAAATTATTGGACTTAGGGAAAACTGAAGGCAATCTTTCTCACCTAGAAGGTCTACGAGCTATCCACACAGTGATCGTCTTTGTTGTTCACTCTTCGTTGCCAATGATGCGGATGCCACTGAAAAACGTTGAAGATCTGGAAGCGGTATGTTAATCAATGCACAAGAACATTATTATTTTCACGATTGTCTCCCAATTTTGCGTCCTACAGCAAACGAACAGCTTCATTTTTCCAGTCATCAACTCACTAAACACACACATGATCACATTTTTCTTCGCACTGGGTGGAATGGTTCTATCGGTTAGTTTCCTAAACCACATCGACCGCGTGAAAGAATTCGAATTTTCCTTCCAATGGAAGAAACTGCTCAATCGTTTGGCGCGGCTTCTACCTGCCTATGTATTCATCATTTTCTACCAGGCGACGCTTTTCAAACGAACAAAACAAACGCCGGTGGCATACAAGTTCTACGACTACTGCAGTGAACATTGGTGGTCCAATCTGTTGATGATCAACAACTTTGTTCATTTGGATGAACCGGTGAGTTAATTCAGGTCGAACAAAATAATGTGCATTCAAGCTTGTTATCTATTTCAGTGCTTACAATACGGCTGGTACTTGGGAGCTGACTTCCAACTGTTTTTAATCGGTATGGCAATTATGACTTTGATTTGGAGGTTCCCAGCACTCAAGCGGACCTGTATTGGCGTAATGATTTTAGTCAGTTTTGTTGTACCGGGATTCGTAATTTACAAGGAGAAGCTGGATGCAACCATGACTTTTGCAATGCGGTTTGTATATTTTGCCAAACAGTAGGAATAAATCATACCAATGAATATATTTCAGGCATGCTCTCAACCAATTGCGAGAATACGACGTATTTTTAAAATACTACACTCCATTCTACACGAATGCTGGAACGTATTTCTTTGGCATGATTGCTGGAATGCTGTATCACCATGTTTTGAAGAATAAATTCCACTTGATTGCAGAATCGACATCCAAAAGGATATTTGGATACGTCGCGGTTTTGATGGTCGCTTTGAATGGCTTTCTAGCTTTTCTACCATCGCTGCACCTGGAAAAACCTTCATTATTTCTAGCTTTGTTTGGATCCACATTGAAAGCAATCTGGGGTATTGGACATTCTACAATGTTTTTATTGTACGCCTTCAAAAGGAATTCGATGCAGGTTGACTTTCTGAAGCATCCTATTCTTGCGGTTCTGGCGAAGCTTAGCTATGCTGTCTACATAACACAGTACTCGGTCATCCACATGGTTTACAGCAACCTTAGCGTGCCCATTCGATATGACTTTTTCAACACGGTAAGTTAGAATCAGACCACAAAAAAACCCTCTTATTCTACATGTTTAAATATGTCTTTTTACTCAACAGCTTCTTCTGACATCAGCCATCTTCTCCATCACGTTCTTCAGCGCGATTTTGCTGCACGTAGCAGTTGAGGTACCATGCGCCTCCATACTAAAGCAAGTTATCGATGGACAATTCAAAATTGGACGAATGGCTAGGAAAAGTGGAAAATATTCTTAGACATATTGGACATCTACCAATAGAAAAAAAAAAACGTTTTCAGCTGATCTCTAGTCAAAAATGACGTGTGAATTTCAAAAACATTCTCAATTTTTGTGAAATAAACATGTATGTATATTGAAATTTGCGTTGTACATAATATGTGTGATTCAGTGTTCACTTCTGTCGGGAGAAGTGGGCCACTCACCCTAAATGTGAAATAAAAAAAAAAATCAGATGTAAAATTTATCGATAAAGAACAAATATACAAGGTTTGAGTGAAATCGGAGCAAATTTTCGGTAGTAATTTTTTTCATTGAATTACTGTTGTAGCCGACACTGGCCGATCTAGGTTAAGCCTGCGTCTTAAGCGCCACTCCGGTAAAGGAGACCGCAGGCCACGTTGAGTTTGCCCGGATGAGACTGCCTCAGGGCGAGTCCAAGTGAAAATCTTCCTAGAAAGAAGAGATCGAGCCAGCTTGACTACTACCTAATTAGATCGAGTAGGAACCCCTATTGCGAAACAGCATAATCTCTCACAACATCGAAATAATTCTGAAAAGCTCCCGGTAAGAGAATACACAAACCCTAAACGACGTTCCACGTCAAGTTCTCCTCCTCGGTAGCTTCACTTAAATTCCGCCAGAGGCGCAGCTGCAGCAAAAGAGGTACGCAACATAACAGTCAAATTCCGACCACGCCGAAGACAACAACATATTTACACGGACCCGAAACAACGTAAAAATACAATACAATAAAGCATGCTTTTGCGAATTTGTTCTGATGGTTTGTATTTCTACTCCTCTTTATTCTACTTCTCTATTGGAAGATTGCCGCAAAAGCTCAACGCAGATGTCGCCACTGCATGATGATGATAATGTTGACAGACTGCATATAAAATTCGTGAAAATTAGAATTAAATCATAATTTTTATCAAGCCTGTGTAAAATCCTTCCAATATAACATTCGAATTGAAGAAGAAAACGTGTTCACGATCAGACTGATGTGCATCTTTGACTTTTCCAGTTGAACTTTCATAAGTTATATTCATTTCATTTCGCGGCTCCATCAATGCTGCATCGTAAATATGATGTAAACAGAAGTAAATTACTCAATTACTCAAAATAAAGATGATTTGTCATCTTGTTATACCTTTGAAGACCATCTAGCACCATTTAATAGTATGGTGCGTGTTGAGTAAATCAAGTTCCGGTGCGTTTTCCGTCGAAAATTGTGAGTATCAATATGTTTGCTTAGAAAAGGCCAAAATGAACATTTATTGAATATTGGCGACCTATAAAACCAATTCTCCATTACCACCAGCATGATACAACCTTTCCTAAGTAAATTAACTTAATTTCCACTTTCATCTTAGTGGAAATCACACATATTCACCATTTTCCGAAAAATGCAGCTGCGCAGGAGGTAACCTCTCGCTGTGGGTGCAAACTTGTTATGCATTATTTTCCATGAAAACCTCTCCGATCCATACCGAAATAATAACAATTAGTTTTCAAACACGTTTTCTTACACGATTCAAGCAAAAGTTTCCACGGTAAATTATTAGTTTTTCTTTATGGACCGATTTGCCCCAAAAATCGTCTGTTTTACTTGGAAAATTTGGAAACTATCCTCCTTCTAGTAGTTCTCACTTCGAAATGTAGGAGGCGAAAGCTTGGAAAAGTTTCACTGCAAGACGCCAATTGCTAAATTTCAGTGAAGAACAGCAGGAAAATTGAGGAACTACGGCCAATTGGCGTCTTGCAGTGAAACTTTTCCAAGCTTTCGCCTCCTACATTTCGAAGTGAGAACTACTAGAAGGAGGATAGTTTCCAAATTTTCCAAGTAAAACAGACGATTTTTGGGGCAAATCGGTCCATAAAGAAAAACTAATAATTTACCGTGGAAACTTTTGCTTGAATCGTGTAAGAAAACGTGTTTGAAAACTAATTGTTATTATTTCGGTATGGATCGGAGAGGTTTTCATGG